TGGGGGTGCTCCCAGCCCTCTGCCCTGACCTTGAGTTGCCAACACCCAGCCTTCTCCCCTGCACCTCCACACCCCCCAGCCCTCTGCCCTGTACCTCCACACCCTCCAGCCCTCTGCCCTGAACCCCCCCCCACACCCAGTCTTGTGCCCTGCACGTCCACACACCCCAGCCCTCTGCCCTGACCTCGAGTCCCCCCCAACATCCAACCCTCTGCCCTGAACCCCCCACACACCCAGCCTTGTGCCCTGACCTCGAGTCCCCCCCACACCCCAGCCCTCTGCCCTGAACCCCCCACCCAGCGAGCTGAGCAGGCTGGCGGCGTAAGATCAGCATTTTAATTTAATTTTAAATGAAGCTTCTTAAACATTTTGAAAACCTTGTTTACTTTACATACAACAATAGTTTAGTTATATAATATACAATTAGAGAGAGACCCCTTCTAAAAAAACGTTAAAATGTATTACCGGCACGCGAAACCTTAAATTAAAGTGAATAAATGAAGACTCGGCACACCACTTCTGAAAGGTTGCCTACCCCTGATCTAAGTATTGGAATATCCACCAGCTTTTTGGGGATTGTCTGCCTCATTCTTTGCAGTTCACCCTACATCTGTTAGTCTTAAAGGTGCCACAGGACTCTCTGTTGCTTTTTACAGATCCAGACTAACATGGCTACCCCTCTGATACTTGACACCCTAATTGAGTGACCACAGCTGGCTCCCCACTAGGACCCCAGTCACAGCATTACAGTAGTACCCAGAGGTGCCAATTGTGAACAGTTTGAGATAGTTTACATCGCCATTGCCCACACCATGTCTGTTCTGTGGATAAAATATAATATCAGGCTTCATAACTGTCCAGCTGGATACTTACACAACTACTAAATTCACTTAAATTGAATTATGCAGACCTGCTCTGCACAGCAATTTTAGACAAGGGGCTATTGTGAATTGCTATTTTGTGTTTCAATGATTTTCAAATCAAATGTGTTCAATTCACAAGTAAAAATGAGATTTTCCGATAGCCAGCTCTGCAAATTCACCATGGACTCAGAGTCAAGCTGGGTCGGATCTGCCATCATACCACCACCACGGAAAGTTCTGCGGGGCACTAAGCCCCCAAAGATACCGGTATAGTGGCCTGGTCTTCAATGTGTTTGCATAGGTGTAAGTGACTGGAATGTCAACAATTCTTGGGATGTAGAAGACCAAGTACGAACAGCTTATACACTCAGCTGTGTTGCCTTTGCAGTGCTATAAGGATTTGTAAAAAGGAAGAATTTGTTATTTAAGTCAGTTGATATGGCACTGAACATACAAAGGGACCAGATCAATGTAAGATTGTGCTGTTACTGCACAGTCACTTTTCAGAGTACAACTGCACTTTGGAAGTTAAATTAACACTGCACTATACATAGAGGAATGCAAGTAAATTGGATGTTAAAAGTGTCTGATTTTTTAATCTATTTTCTGTTCTGCTCCTGAAATCTACCACAGAACCAAATTACTAAAAAGCTAATTCTTGTAGATCGAAGTGCAGAGCTATTTAATTAATAGTACTAGCAACAGTATTGGCGACCTTGAGAATGGAGAAGTTGATAACTTTTAGCTTAGTACCCAAGCTAAATAATTTGAAATATATTAGAAGTCCAAACTATTAGATAAGAAGGCTAAAGAATGGAAAAGTCTTCCACAGTTACAGTAGCCAAAAGTAAACTGGGTTGTCCAACCATTTAAGTGCTATTCTGGGCACTGAAAGTCCAGGTCCAACATCTCAGAGCAATGACAGCTCTGGGTTACAGCAAAGTGTGGGTAGACAAAGTTATTTTCTGAGCTTTGTCCCATAGAAAGAAACAGACAATCACATGGAATATGATCAACAACTCTGAACAATATATTATGCTGTAGGAAAAGATTTCATTGCAGGTAGTATTAATGTTTTCTATACAACCCCTTCCACAGCCACTTCCATCTAAGGGCTAGTCTGCCGTGGCAGCGCTTTAACGTGGCTTGTGTGGTCGTGGTGCAGCGCTGCTCTCCCAGCGTTCTTAAAAAAAACAAAAAAACAAACAACCCCCCCCCAAAAAACAAAAAAACCCACCTCCACGAGGGGCACTGTCTACACTGGCACTTTACAGCGCTGAAATTTGCTGCACTCAGTGGGGTGTTTTTTCACACTCCTGTGCGAGAAAGTTGCAGCGCTGTAAATTGCCAGTGTAGACAAGCCCTAAGAATAGCTCAAAGCACTGTACGGACACAAAGCTTTATAAGCCCTCTAGAACAAAAGCACGGTTAAACAGACAGGTAGCCCAAGATCAGACAGTAAGACAATGAATAACTTGGGAACAGAGTTCAAAAGTTAATTGTATGCGAACCATAACACTTCCACCTCTAATATTCCCTTTTAGTTTCCTATTACAGAGATGTAAATGTATACAGTTAGCTAGGCCTTTCTCTGTTCCTCACACTCTTCTCATCCTCATGTTCCTCCATCTCAAAATATTCTTACAGCAGCTATTAAAAAGAAAGGACAGCTCTCAGGTAATGTAATACTTAGATATTTGAAGGTAATCTGCTGACTCATTTCATAAATGCAATTTAGTTTGGCTTCTATGCTTCTAGAAGAGCCTTATTTTGACCATTGTACTGCTCATGTAGTGAAGGCACAGGGAGGGGGGGAAAATAGGATTCTCTACAACCATCCCCTCTCCTGCACCCAAGGATTCCTGTCACAGCAGTGACCCTCAAGAAGAAAGACTGCTCCTTCAGAAATTATTAATGTTGCTCCAATAAGGGAAAGATAAGGTGTTTCCCATGAGAGTGATCAGAGGAGATCAGGAACAGGCCAAAGTATAAGGTAATCAAGTTTCTGTACAATATTAACTAAAAAAAATAAGTTTACCTTCTGATTTAATGGTGATATAGTATCAGTGGCAGAATCAATGGGAAAAATCTGGACTCTCTGTTCCATGTAAGTGTGAAAGTTCAGAAGTGCTGTCACAAGATCCTGAACGAAAGCCAAAGCCTGACCAGCAATGTCCCGCAACTTCAGCTTTAACAAACAGTTACAGTTGGTATATTTCAGTTACAACAAATACACTTTATTTAAAACAACACTGCTTATAATTAGATGGGACAAGAACAGTTTTTATTATCTATAACTCCTATCAAGTTTGACTCCCTATTGCGATTTAGGTCTTTCGGCCTGAAGGACAGGACAGGACAGGACAGGACTGTGTCCAGAGATCAGCGTATATGGTTTTAATGTTTACCATGTTTTAAAATGTGGGTCTTAATATGTTGTGCGGTGGGACAACAAAGGCATCTGGAATTGCAGAATGCCACTCTATGAAAGATACAGAATGCTTTTATATCATGCAGCATTGCACCAGCATTTTGCTGTACCAATTTTCTAAACTACTTTCATTTTATAATTTAAGTATTTCAATACTTAGAAACTCAATAACAAGGAGCCAAATTTACAAAGGTATTTAGGTGCCTAGCTGTATTTAAAAAAGCTTCAATGGGAGTTCAACACCTAAAGATGTAGATAGGCACTGAGTGGGATTTAATAAGTCACCTATGCACGTTAGGCACTTGACTCCCATTGAAACTTGCTTAGGTGCTTTACTAAAAGCCACTAGGCACCTATCTAAATCTTTAGATGCCAAAATACCTTTGTGAATCTGTTCCAAAGTAACTTTTTAAACCAAACCATCATGCCTATTACTACAAAATTGCATACAATATCCCAAGAATAGCTTAAGAAAGTCTTTAACTTAAGACAGTATATTCCTTTTCATGTAACCTAGTTTTCTGGTGGTGCTTTACTGTAGACGTATCCTGTAACCCTACCTTCACAACTTATTACCATCGCCCCATGGTTTTTTTCCCTTATTCTGTCCTGTCTAGACAAAATCTATGTTATAAAATTTCACTGTTTGTTGAGTCTCCCCAGATATAGTACCTCTCACATTTCTTTTTATTGTCTATTTCCCTAACCTACCCCAAACACAACACTCTCCTCCTCCTATTTTGGTGTCCCCTGTGTATTTCAATCGGTGCAATTACAGTAGAACCTCATTAATGCAATAAAACTACAAGTGCAAAAATCTGCCCTGAAAACAGATTTTCAAGACTGTAGATTAGTGACCAACCAGTATGGATCTGCTTCTGTATCAGAGGCAGGGTAAGAGATTGACTGACACCATATTCCCACAGCCCAAGAAGGGAGGTCACTTCAAGTATTGGTTCAGCCAGACCCTACCACTCAGCAATTGCCTGGAGTTAGACTATCTCCATCACAAAACAAGCCAGTGGCAGCCATCCATTCACTCCCAGCTTGGCTACGGCCACTGAGACAGTGAGCCCATTCTCTTCAGAGAGGCTCCTGAAGAGCAGAGGGCAGTCATAGCAATCTTTCTGAAGGAATCCCTGCATGCTGTAATCAGGAACCTTCATACTACATCCAGTGGTTCCTCTTCCCTTCCATGACCCTAGCAGAGCCATGGAAGCAGCATCAGCCCACATCATCAGCAAAAGCACCAGCAAAACACAATAGTAGTATAACCACCAGCCAACTGCAAGTGGACTTGCTCTGATCCGGAACTTTATGATACATGAAGGTGGGGCCTCTGGGAAACATAGCACTCCTCCACTGGGCCTGCCCAGAGCACAGCAGTGGAACTTGAATGATCTGTGCTTTTGTAAAATAAAGAGGATTCGAGGAGGGAATTGCACTGAAGTGTAATTATAAAAGCAGTGCAGCCGAAATAGCCTGCTGGCTTATTGCTCAGTGTCAAGCTCAATAGGATATTTACATTTTTGTCTTAACCAGTCGTATTTCATTTATGTAAAAAAACAATAGACTTTTACAGGTTAAGCCATGTAAGGTTATTACTTACCTGACATCTTCTATTGTGTAATGGTACATTAAGAGCATTATATTGACTAGATCCTACAAGCCAAAAATTGACAGTTACACATACAAATAATGGAGTCCTGTTTTTACATTAAATTCTTGTGACAGTCTAACAATGAAATCTGATAAATTTAATGTTTAGTCTGCATTACCACAACGTCACTGAGTTTAAAATAAATTTTACAGATTTGGCAAAGAAAAATTGTAGCTGATACTAAACAGTATATACCTGAACAAAAAAATCATTTGATTTTCAAAATAGTCACAATGAATATCCCCACATTAGCATCATTACTGTGAGCAAGTTGTGGCTGAAATGGCACTTCCATTCTAAATCTGGATTTTTATGGTTTTTAATAGGGCTGTCGATTAATCGCAGTTAACTCATACGATTAACTCCAAAAAATTAAACAATAGAATCCCAACTGAAATGTATTAAATATTTTGGATGCTTTTACATTTTTATATATATATTTTATTCTGTGTTGAAATTCAAATCAAAGTATATACTCGATCATAAGCCAGTTCGTTTATAAGCCGACCCTTCCCCCCAAGATGGATAAGTAAAAATGGAAATTTTTTATGACTTGTTCATAAGCCGACCCTATAATTCAGGGATCAGCAAACTTTGGCTCCCAGGCCATCAGGATAAGCCACTGGTGGGCTGAGATGGTTTGTTTACCTCGAGCCTCCACAGGCACAGAGGTAAACCTAAGTAAACAAAGTGTCCCGGCACACCAGCTGCTTACCCTGACGGGCCAGAAGAGCAACTGGTGGGAAAATGTTGGGGGGGGGGGGGAAGGGCTGGGGGTCAGGGGAGTAACCTGTGACCACCCCCCACCCCTAGCCTGGGACCCCCACACTCTCCCCATCTCATCCCTTCCCACCTTATCTGGGGAGGATGTCTCTGGCCTGGCCGCAGCCTGCTCCAGCAGGCCAGACCGGGCAGCTCGGCCGCAGCATGTTCCAGCGGGTTGGGCCGGGTGGCATGGCCGCACCGTGCTCCAGGGGGCCGGTGTGACACAAAAAGCTCCCTCTCCCAATTCCCTACTTTGGGTGCACTGAGCATGCTCACCCAAACTGAGCATGCCCAGTAACCTTCACTTTTGTGTGTCAGAAAATGCAGCTAGTTGCAAAAGTGGAGGGTTGCTGTTTGTGCCGCTACACTCTAGCCCTGCCTCTTCCCTCCTGACTCTGCTGCCTCTCTTTGCTCCCTCTGCTGGGGGGAGGGGCTGTGTCCCACCTCTCCCTCTTTATACCCGTTAATAAAGCCCCCTTCTCTGGTGCTTCCCCTTTTTACTAAAAAATTCTGCTTATGAACGGGTATATACGGTATATTGTTCTTGATTACAAATATTTGCACTGTGAAAGAAACAAAAGAAATTGTATTTTTCAATTCACCTCATACAATTACTGTGGTGCAATCTCTGTGTTGTGAAAGTGCAACTTACAAATGTAGACTTTTTTGTTACACAACTGCACTCAAAACCAAAAGAATGTAAAACTTCAGAGCCTACAAGTCCACTCAGTCCTATTTCCTGTTCAGCCAATCGCTAAGACAAACAAGGTTGTTTACATTTACAGGAGATAATGCTGCCCTCTTCTTATCTACGTCACCAGAAAGTGAGGCATTTGCATGGCACTTTTGTAGCCGGCATTGCAAGGAATTTACGTGCCAAATATGCTAAACATTCATATGCTCCTTCATGCTTCGGCTACCATTCCAGAGGACATGCTTCCATGCTGATGACACTCATTAAAAGAATAATGCGTTAATTAAATTTGTGATTGAACTCCTTGGGGCAGAATTGTACGTCCCCTGCTCTGTTTTACCCACATTCTGCCATGTATTTCATGTTATAGCAGTCTCGGATGATGACCCAGCACATTTTAAGAACACTTTCACTGCAGATTTGACAAAATGCAAAGAAGGTACCAATGTGAGATTTCGAAAGATAGCTACAGTACTCGACCCAAGGTTTAAGAATCTGAAGTGCCTATAGAACCTGAACCACCAAAAGAGAAAATCAACCTTCTGCTGGTGGCAACGGACTCAGATAATGAAAATGAACATGTATCAGTCCGCACTGCTTTGGACTGTTATCAATCAGAACCCATCATCAGCATGGACATATGTCCACTGGAATGGTGGTTGAAGCATGAAGGGACATATGAATCTTTAGCGCATCTGGCACATAAATATCTTGTGACGCCAACTACAACAGTGCTATGAGAATACAATGTCACCTGAAAATGAGAACAGGCAAACAAGAAGTGGGCAGCATTATCTCCTGAAAATTTAAACAAACTTGTTTGTCTGAGTGACTGACTGAACAAGAAGTAAGACTGAGTGGACTTGCAGGTTCTAAAGTTTTACATGGTTTTATTTTTGAATGCAGTTATTTTCTGTATATAATTCTACAATTGTAAGTTCAACTTTCATGATAAAGAGACTGCACTACAATACTTGTATTGGGTGAATTGAAAAATACTATTTTTGTTTTTTTACAGTGCAAATACTTGTAATCAAAAATAAATATAAAGTGAGTAGTGTATACTTTGTATTCTGTGTTGTAATTGAAATCAATATATATGAAAATGTAGAATATCCAAAAATATTTCAATAATGGTATTCTATTATTAACAGTGCGATTAATCGCACAATTACCATATATACTCGTTCATAAGCCAAATATTTTTGGTAAAAAAGTGACACATCGAAGAGCGGGAATCAGCTTATAAAACAGGTCTACACCAAAATTTGATGATTTTAAACTCTATGGAAGAATTGAATTGAATATCTAATACATTGCTATTTTGTTTACCTGGAGAGTCTGAAGGCATGGAGCCCCTCGGCTCCCTGTGGCCGCGGCTCGCTGTTCCCAGCCAATGGGAGCTGCAGGAAGTGGTGCGCCACTTCCCGCAGGTCCCATTGGCTGGGAGCAGCAAATCGCGGACACTGGGAGCCGAGGGGCTCCATGCCTGTGAATGCTCCAGGTAAACAAAACGTCCAGGTCCACTAGCAGCTTACTCTAACTGGCCAGGAGCCAAAGTTTGCCAATCCCTGAAATATAGGATCAGCTTATGAAAGGGTCATACAGTTTTTGCTATTTTTACCTAACCATCTTGGGGGGTCAGCTTATAAACGAACGGGCTAACGAACGAGTATATACGGTAATCATGATTAAGTTTTTTAATCACTTGACAGCCCTAGTTTTTAACAGTCTAAAAACCCAAATTTAAAGGCCAAAACTTACAAGAGACAGTAAAAAACATTTATCCAGTGACTGGTGGAGTCAGAGTAAGTGGGGTAGAAAGAATACTTTTCTACCATTAAGGAGTTTTCAGACTTTTAAAAAACATTTTCTCAGAACTCAAGAGGACCTTTTATTAAAACGTCAGATTTGGCACATAAGGCAATGTATTCCTTAAGATTACATATTTGACCTATTTTTTTTTTTGTTAGTTTGTAATTTGTTCTTGTGCTTCAAGAGAAAAAATAAAAGGGCATAAACCAGTTAAAGTTATTTTGAGATTTTCAATTTTTCATTATAGTACATGCTATTCTAGACATAAAACTATCACTAAATTAAAAGTGCTCATCAATTTGGCATGGGTCCACTTCTTCAGGGATAGGGGTATTTAGAGTTAGAAAACATCTTAAGTTTTACAGAGACTTATTTGGCCAATTGTTAGCATTTGAAATCCACATTCATATTTTTGTTTAATTGAAGAGATCCATATTTTAAGTCAATTTGCACAGGAAGAGGAAACAAAGTATTTCAAAGCAACTTATGCACTGTCCTTTTTATATTATTTATATTTGACAAACTTGTTTATTTTTTGCTGGTGATAAACGTGAGGAACTGTCATGAACAGTATTGTAAGTCACAGCTGTTTGTTCTGAAGAGCAAGAATTGTATCCAAGATTACTGAATCCTAATCTCACAAGAAAAGAGAAATTATGAGGGAAAACTCTAAGCTCCCCTTGTAGGCAGCCCAACCAGCAAAGATCTCTCAGACCTCAGAAAGAAGAACATGTAGGTGTTGAAGAGAAACATGGCAAACATATCTTGTGTCCAAGTTTTAAAGAGAGCAACAACTGATTTCAGCTTAAGGCAACACTGACGTGGGAGAGCAAGACCAGAACTGTTTTCGAAGAGCAGTGAGATGGTGAATAAGCAACAGACTGGGCAGGAAAGTGAATTTCTCCTCTTGAAAAAAATCTAAGGTTTTTGGGAAAAAATGGGTCCCCCAAATCAGGATAAAAGGCCAAAACCCTTGAAAATGTTTGCAGGAAATGAATTTCATTACAGAAACACCAAAATGTCCCCATGGAGTGAATGTTTTGGTGTTTCCAAAACAAAATATGTTCCCTGGGAACTCTGGCTTCATGGCAACACACCAGACAAGTTGCTGGGGATCCTGGAAGCAAGGGCTCCCATCTCCTAACCTGTGGCAGCCCACAAACACAGCTGTTGAGGAGCCAGGTCACCAGTTCCTCGGCAAATTTCCCACAAGGCTGCCAAGGAGCTAGAGAGCCTGGCATCTTGTATAGCCTGACTTCAAGGTTTGGGAAGCTAACTTTGCTAAGCCCATTACTTGTTCCACTGTGGATGATGGCTCAAAGGACAGGTAAAAGCCCTTCAATGCAATTCTGTTACTACTGCTGCTGCTTCTTTTCCTCACTCTCTTCAGGCTCTTCTGGCACTAAGTCCTGCTCTATGGGGAACAGAGGGTATCCTGTTGCCTGCCCAAGTAGCCCTCTGTGACCCAGACCATACGTTGCCTAGAATGGGATGAGAATCCTTCAAAACATTCTAGGACAATTCTGCCCTTCTCTGCTTGCCTGGGCTCGGTCCCTTCTGTTGGGGAGCCTGGCAAAGCATGCCAACTCTCCCTTAACATGAAGCTACAGGAGAGATGCAGAAGCTGAGCACTTTCCGACCCTCACCCTGTCCTTTTTCTTTTTGGCCACTTTGCAGCAGATGGGGTGGGGAAGGGAAAAGAAGGGGCAGACCGACTCAGGTCAAATTCCATGTCAAAATCCCAAAGTATTTTTTCAGCAAAGAGCGAGTTAGGCTGAATATCTGGACATGGAGGTATAAAAAGTACAGTTGTGAAGCCATCTTAAAAAGTAAAAACAGAGGGCTGCTTCCTGCTATATGCTCTACCGGGAGGCAGAGAATGTGGGTAGCGTCAAGAGAGAAATGTAGTCCTAAACCTGCCCAGTCCAGGTTCAATCGTCTTACCTGTCTCCACACTCCTAGGAAAAAGGAAGAAACCCACTGCTGGATATGCTAGAGAATCTGAGAAATTAGGACCTTACTTGGGATATGGAGAGTTCAGTTTAGATTTGCCTTTGTTGCTGGGCTTTAACCAAGCATCAAGCTTTTCTGTGGGATCCTCAAGCAAGGCCATTATACATTTGAGAAACTGCCACTTGACATTGAGATTTTTTTCCAGGTAGTACTCTCCTCCCATCTAAGCAATAACCTATGTTAACAACTGTACTCTGCTTGCCTGACAGAACCCTCTTGGATATAACCGCCTAAAGAGCCATCCATGGGAGGGCCTTGGTAAATTAACAGAATTACCCTCTCTTTTTATAATATTCTGTCCAATTTAAGTTGATCAGATGATAGGTTATAGGAGAGTTTAAGACACCCTCTATAGAGCTTTAAGTTGTATTTACCACACAATTAATGGCTTTAAAGACCAGTAAGTTAGAATAGAAGTGCCAACTAAACATTACATATATCGAGCATCATTAATGCACCATTACAAGTCGCTGTAATGGGAGACAGTTCAGCTTCCTGGGTTTTTTGGGCCTAATACCTGTTTAATTCACAAGGTGGTCACTTTTCCCACAGGAATGCCCAAATTAAGACTGAATTTGGGGGGTTGGGGGGGAGAAATCAATGAAATACCTACTTGTGTCATTGAAAGGTACTTTTTCATTGATTATGCATAAAGAGTCATCCAATCGCCGACCCAAATCTGCATGAAGGTTCTTTAACTGCTGCTGACTGGGTAGAAAAACAGGATAACATTACAAACCTTGTTTAAGTAAATCAATAACATTTCAGGTTATACCTTAAGCTGTGGTCCCGAGTTCAAATACTATCCACATTTTTCCAGAGTTTTTAAAAGAGCGAAAGAGATCGCAATATGAGTAAGGAGACACAGGATAGGCACAGCAGGACTGACGTTTATGTGATCAGGATTTTCAAGTTCTTCATTTCTCCCTCCCAATACAATGAGAAGTGCACAGAAAGCCAGACAGCTGAATAACCATGTTGCATTCCAAGAGTCAATTTACTGTCAAAGTAACCTTTACGTTATTTCTAAACTGTATTACACACTATATGAAAACTTAATTCAGTTCCAAAGTATGTCACATTTAGGATCCTTTTACTTCTCCAAGTCAGAAAATAACCTGCATTGTTTCACCCCACAGTGAGTGAGTGGGGAATAATTCAGGTAGCTACAAGTATATTTATTTGTTGCATACTTGTTACAGAAGTGCCACAAGCATTTCAGAGTCCTATATTTAGTGCCGATAACCTAGTAGCCTATGCTGCAAAGCAAAGAGCTCTGTAAAAATAATTATTCATATTTCTATTCACCTGTATTTTGTTCAACTGAAATCTAATAGTTATGAATTTTATAAAGACACAAGTCTATGAGACAAACATTGATCATTGCTCATACTGTAGAATAAAAGATTCTACTCAGACATTGTACACACACACCATCAATAACTTACTTCTGTAAACTTATTTACAGGTGTTACTTGTAACTACACAAGTTATAAGATTTCAGACAAGTGTCTCTTCTACAATGACAACATCCCTCTAAAACAACAATTCCACAATTTTTCACAAGCTTTATAGTTTCACAACTACCTAGCATTCTTGCTGAAGAAAGAACACTGAACTAAAGAGCTCTGCGTAATAGGATTTTAACAACATGTGCAAGAGCTGCTGTCTTGTCAGATATCAAGGAGGATGGATAGAGAGATCTCTAGGAGAACACAGTAGCTGATCAACATGTAGAGATGAGATCAATTTATTTCATTTCCTTTTCCTAGATAAAATCAAAGTGGCCTTGATACCCATGTACTACTGTTACTTGTTGACGTGAAACTAACAGAGCACTAAGTAACTCTGTTTTACCAGAATGAGTGTATATGGCGGTATCCAATTGCTGTAGGAATGTAAAGGAATTACTTCTCTGGTTGGTTTACTTTAAGAAAAATGAAAAAAATTATTTTTAACATAAGAACTTACCATTCTTCCGCTCGAAATCTACATTCCTTAGCTTCTCTTTCTAGTGTCTGAGACTTGATCTTTATGCAAAAAACAGAACCCCACAATGTAAGTACTAATATATGCAAAAATGTTTTCTTTACAAAACTTTTTAGGCATTTTAGTAAAGTACAATTGTAAAAACTTACTTCTAATTTGGTTTTATCATTCTGCAGTTTTTCTATGGTATCAATGTATTTCCGGGTTAAACTATCCACCACTGCTTGATGCTGGGCAGCATCTGTTTCCAAAACCTCAAGTCTATTTTTCAGCTCAGATTCCAAACGTTTGTGCTGCTCATCTGCTTCAAAGAACTACAAATGAGAAAAGGAATTTACTTATCTGAAATATTCCTTTTAATCCAATACTGTACGTTATGTCAATTCATATGGACACCATAGACTCTTACTAGTGAAGGCAGATTTTTACAAGCTATAGGTTCTTATGCTGCTTTACTCAGTGTAGTTACTTATGTGGCCCTCAACAACATATCATCAGACTGCCTCATGAGGAGTATAAATCTTGGAACACTAAAGGAGCATTGTCCACAATATTGTAGTGTATCAGAGGGGTAGCCGCGTTAGTCTGAATCTGTAAAAAGCAACAGAGGGTCCTGTGGCACCTTTAAGACTAACAGAAGTATTGGGAGCATAAGCTTTCGTGGGT